ACCCATGACCTCATGGACCCTGAACAGTTACACCCTCCGCAGCCCGTCCTTGTGCCCCGGCCAGCGTCTGCTGAAGAAAGCAAGCTCTGACTCCGATAAATAATTCATCTGAGAAGCTCAAACTCAGTTACAGCTTTTCTCTTTTATTGCGTGCTCTGCATTATTAACGCTACTAAGTGCAGGCGGAACGCGAGGCTTCCGAAGTGAACTTCTAGGACTTTGGAAACGACAATATAGAACGCCTCTCACCTTCTCATGAAGGTTAATATCTGTAATATATATCTAATATTCATATCTTAATGAAATTCCATCCTTCTTACCTAATGTTTTAAGTGCTCTGGTTATGTGGACGTTATTGATGGTGGCCATTTTGTGGGATGAGGTAATACTCGCGGGATGATGTATATTGATATTGAGAATCCAGAGGAAAAAAATGCAGCTTGTCAGCAGAATAGGAAGTAGTGCGGTGTGCGCAAAGCAGCTTCTTCCCCTTCCTGCAGCGCACACGCTTGCAGAAGCACTGATTTTCAGCAAAATGGCCGGCTGGGTTTTGGTTAAAGGAGAACTATGGGGTCAGGGTTCTCCTTAGGGTAACGGGAGGACACAAACTAGCGTCCTCCCGTTACCCTAAGCTCAGTATACCGCGAGCTACTGCTCGCGGTATACTGAGACGCCGCAGCCGGAGCGGATCCCGACGTAGACGACGGGATCCGCCCAGCTGCGTGAGTGACAGCTGGTTCTGCCTATCTAGAGGCAGAGCCAGCTGTACCCGCCCCCTCCCCCGTCCGTTCCGCCAGTCAGCGCTGGCAGATCGGAGCGGGGAGAGGGGAATCCAGCCCCTCCCTCTGTCACGGCAGAGAGCCGTGACAGGATCGAGAGGTGAGCGAACGCCAGTATGTGTTTGCTCACCTCCCGATCTACTGAGCCGACCTGTGACAGTCTCATTGTCACAGGTCGGCTAGAACTATGAGGTGAGTGAAAAGCACTCACCTCATACTTCTCCTTTAAGCAGTACCGGGCCACAGCAAATATAGGCACCTGTATCAGCTGGCCATACGCTGTTAACAGCCTGGATGGGGGAATCCCCTAGTTGGGCAATTGTATTCTGACAGAGGTGGGTATGCCGCTGCAGAATACCCGAACAGTGACTGCAGCTTATTGGCTGCAGTCACTGTTCGGCTGAGGATTTTACAACCTCAACTTTGGCATTCCCACCATTAGATGGAGCCGAGGAGCATAGAAAATTGCATACACATTTTACACCTTGCCATTTAAAGGAGAAGTAAAACCTACTCTTCCCAATACTTGGAGCCCCAGGGTGATGCTGCAGCTGTCGCGCGCTGGGTCTCTAGATCGAGAGCTGAGTGATCACGGACAGCTCACGGTCTTCTCCCTGCAGAGAACAATGACTGCCAGCCAGCGCCCCCCCACAGGGGTTCCCCCTTCCCCTCTCTGTACCTCCAGCGCTCATTGGAGGAACAGACAGGAGAGTGGGCAGGCACAGCTGGCTCTGGATCTAGAGAGGTAGAGCCAGCTGTCAATATCATGGATCAGCCCTGCACTGTCAGCAAATTGCATGCAGTTGCATTATTCTGACTTTGGATCACAAGAGGACATTAGTACATGTACGCCTCTGACCCAAAAGAGCAGTAAAGCCAACTTTGTATATTTCTTCCAGATCTGTGCAGCTTCCTGTAATAAAGACCGGTCACTGCTGCTACTCCCCTTGTACAGGGTGACTGGTCTCGTCTCTGTCCCCTCCTGTAATAAAGACCGGTCACTGCTGCTCTCGCTCCTTGTGCAGGGTGACTGGTCTGGTCTCCGCCCCCTCCTGTAATAAAGACCGGTCACTGCTGCTCTCGCTCCTTGTGCAGGGTGACTGGTCTTGTCTCCGCCCCTCCTGTAGTTTCCTGTATTGGGTGGGGCCTGCTTTCTGCACAGGCTATATACCGCATGATGATTGATGATATCATTACTGCTTTTACAAGGTGCTATCTGGATTCCTTAAGGCATACTGTATGATTGGTGCTCTATTTTGTGTCCTCTGTCCGAGAACGAACAATGATCCCTAGCAAAATGCTTAGTGTTACTTTGGCCCAAGCAGGGTGTTTTGGGGAGATGTGTGTCATGGAATATCATTGCTTTTGACAGAGTGTTCCAGAAGTGGATCCAGCTATGAACATGCATACTTCTCAGACCCAACAGCGGGCCGACACTGGAACCTTCTCCACCATTCCCTCCTCTCCGTCACCATACACCCCCCCGGCAGGACCACCACCGAATGTGGGAGGACCAATTACTGCCAACTCTGAGCAGGTACAGTAATACTTCTTGACCGTTAAACCGAGATGCATGTGTAGACGGCTACGGACCTTGTTTATTTATAGGCCTTATTGCTCACCTTATGCAGCCTTATTACACAGTTTGTTTGACAATGAGAACTACAATGGACATTGCTAAGAGCCAGGGGGCACTTGTCTGGCATTTTCTCACATTTGGTTACATTGGTGCAGCCAGGTGTACAAGAAAAATGGAAAATTATATTTTACCTTTTGGGTAGGTTGCACCCTCAGTGAGCCTAAACCAAAAATGTCATGTATGGCTGGAATGTATTGACACAAAATGAGCCTGCAACCATTGAACCCACTGTATTTATTACTGTATACTCTATACTCAGGGTGGGTATACAGTAACTAGGGATGCACGGATATTTCGGTATCGAGAACGAGTACCGTTTTTTTAGTTTTAATTTTGGTACTCGCTGATACCGAATACCGAGTACCGGAAGTCCCATTAAGGAAGCCAGGCGGCGTGTAATGACTCGCCACCCGGCTTCCTGATTAGCAGTGAAGCCGTCCCCATGCTTCTTGTCACTAGGTGACGAGAAGCATGGAGCCGGCTTTCTGTCTAATCAGGAAGCCGGCGCCGTGTAATGACGCGGCGCTTGGCTTCCTGATTGGCGGGGAAGTCGGCTCCATGCTCCATCATGAGGTGGAGAGAGAGCGTGAAGCCAGCTTCCCGACCAATAGGGAAGCCAGGCGCCGCGTCATTACATGGCGCCCGGCTTCCTGATTGGCCAGCTTCCCGACCAATCATTCCTGATTGGCCGGGAAGCCGGCTCCATGCTCTCTAGTCACAAGTGATGAGGGAGCATGGACCCGGCTTCCCGGCCAATCAGAAAGCCGGGCAGCGTGTAATGATGTGCTGCCCGGCTTCCTGATACTGGAAGTATCGGACTAGGCATCGGAGCATTTGGACGAGTTTGCGTACTCGCCCAAATACTCGGCATGAGCACCGATCGGTGCATCCCTAACAGTAACAAATATGCTCCACGTTGAAGAGTCGGACTGTTGCTCTTACGCATAATGCAGTGGTTCAGGGTGCCAGCGCTCAGTCACACCCCCCCGCACACTGCTCCAATCATGCTCAATACACAACGCTGTTTATCAGAGCAGTGTGCAGGGGGGCGCGTCGGACCCGGATCAGCTTGTGCGTGACTCTGTAACGTGCTGCCAGCATAGGGTGTTTCAACCCTTGCTGCAGCATATTTATTACTGTATTCGCAGCCGGACCGCATTACAGTAACCAATGCAGAAGGTTTATTTTTGAACAGCATCCTTGCTTTGTGCAGATGGGAATTGAAGCCACCAGACCAGTCCTGCAAGGCGAGATTTTGAACCTTTTTGTCACTCTGGTTGCAGGGTTTTACAGTCACATGACCTGTGCTCCTTATGCTTGTTTTGCTGTGTAGATCGGCCGTCTGAGGAGTGAACTCGATATAGTACGTGGAAACACTAAAGTCATGTCTGAGATGCTAACAGAGATGACCCCGGGCCAGGAGGATGCATCAGATCTGGAACTGCTACAGGTAAAGCTGGTGCTGTTGGGTGTCCTAATGAAGGGATCGGGAAGGTGGCCAGTCTAGACCTTAAAGGAAAACGCCACTTTCACAAACAATTAGGCAAACACGTCATTTTGAGAGTTGTGTTATTAAAATGACCTTCCTGTTTCAAGCTGCAGCAAGCTATGATTTTCTAAAATTGCCAAAAATATTCAGATGTTGCTGTGGGTGTTTTTCCTCCTTTGGGAACAGAATCTCACTTTCCTGTTATGTGATTGACTCTCTGCTTTTCCCTGAACTTTGCACAGAGCTGAAGGAACAGTTTTAGCCATCCCGTGCACTGTTTTGTATGTTGTCTTCGGTGAGATACTGGGAAAGGTGCTACAAAACGGAATCTAATTGTGTAATTTAGGGCTGCGGAAATTAAAGAATAATTTCTCGATTTAATCGTTAAACTTTTTTTTTTAAATTACTGTAACGTAATTCAAGGTCAGCTAGTGAATGCGCAATTCCAACCTGTACAGAAGCCGGGATTTAGGAAAGTTCTCTATGTAACCAAGCAGATACGTATTATCTGGATCCCTCGATGGAGCTAACAGCAGTCTATTGCTTTGTATAGGACCTAAACAGGACCTGCAGGGCAATGCAGCAAAGGATTGTGGAACTGATCTCCCGAGTGTCCAATGAGGAAGTAACCGAGGAGCTGCTCCATGTGAACGATGACTTGAACAATGTCTTCCTCAGATATGAGAGGTGAGTGTTGGCACCCCCTATGGGTCGTATGTGGGAATGCTGTCCATTTTGTAATTACACGAGCCTCATTTCTCTTTAATACACATGGCTTGCTGCTGAAAATACCAGCTTCTTCCCCTAGCTGCGGAAAGTAGAACTCCAGGCAAATCAAATCATAACCCTTGCATTGGGGCTACCCCGCACTGCAAGGGTTAAGTGCTCGTTGTGTCTTGGGAGCTAAAATAACAGAGATCTACTCACCCAAACCACAATTCCAGCTGGCTCCTAGACCGCTCCCTCTAGCCGGTCCCTCAGCATCCTCCCTTCCTATACACTGTATAGAATGTGATGACTCACAGGACCTTACACTGCTGGAGCGGAGGGGGAGCGAGGCTGGGGAGACTGGTTTAAGAGCAAGCCGGGATTGCGGTTCGGATGAGTATACCTTTTTTTTTTTTAGGTCCCTAGACAAAACGAACACTTAACCCTTGCAGTATTGATTTCCCCGGGTTCTGCTTTAGGACACGGGAAATCAGGGCTGGTCATGTAACCCTTGCATTTAGCTACTCGGTTATCCTGCACTGTCACATGGGGTGGGGAAGGAGTCGTTCTCCCTGTCTAAGCTCCAGGTTGTGGCTTTATGCTTTGGCTGGGCTTTCCTCTCCATTCTGCTGCGGAGGGGGGCGGTATTTAAGTGAAAATGCCCCCTTGCCCCTGTATGGGCACCCTTCCACCCCCTGGTACTCACCTTCGCTACTCTCCCCAGCTGCCCCTGTCACCATGGGTCTGATTCCTGTATTAACTCTCTGTCTGTCTTGGAGCTTACACAGAGTAAATAATCTGCTCCCTTCCTACATGTGACGTTGTTCAGGCCTGGTGATTGGCCATGGCTCCTTTCTCATCACAGTCTAGTGACTGCTATGTGTTGTTCTCTCGACCAATACTGTTCTATTTTTATAGGTTTGAACGCTACAGAACAGGCCGCACTGCACAGAACACTAATGGGGTAAGCCTTTTGGATCATCTGTGCTGTACTATAAATAGATGGGTATCCCAGGTGTGTGTTTAGAAACACTATAATACATTTGGGTCAATGTGATTTTAGTATTTTAAGGTTTTTACATTTTTAAACTGTTAATGCTCCATTTGGAGAGTGTGAGAACCTCCGCACCAGATCTGCATTCAGGGCCGGATTTACTCCACCTGCCGCCCCAAGGCCAGGTTCCATAATACGCCCCCCCGACGGAAATCCGGGCCTGTCTGCATTACTTTACATTCAAAATGCTGGTGCAATCCCCCCTCTGCCGACCGACACCTCTGATGATCGCCCACAGCCCACCCTGTTGAAAGTCTTAAAGGAGTTGTAAAGTCCCAGCGCATCCTCTCCTGTTATAACATCGGCATTGTAATAGGAATACATAGTAGAGTTATTTCTGATCATACAAAGTTTACTTGAAAAAATCCCTTTGATGTAGTGAGCGCCGCCTTCTATCTGCCCATCACTTCCATCATCTTCCTGGATCCCCAGTGTGCTTTGCGTCGCTTTCCCTACTGCTTGATGTGATACAATCTCCATTTCTCGAGACTACACCTCCCATCATGCATTGCTTCCAAAGATGATGTAACATTGTTCAGACATTGAGTTGTAGTTCAGAAGGCAGGCTCTTCGAGAGTCTGAAAGTCTGAAAGCCAGACAACTGAAAGAATCTCATCAATGGCAGAATCCAGATTTTGCTCTGTACAGATTTCCTTTATCATAGTTCCATCTAGCACACACACAGCTATGGCGGCGGTGCCCTGGTGTGCCATAGAACTGAATCGCTGGCAGCGGCAGCACAGCCAAATCATGATCCACTGCTCAGCGGTACTTAAAGGGTGCATGGTGCATCTGTGTTTCTCTGCGGGTATGGTTGTGTTTACATACGCATTTGTTAAAATGACTAACATATCTTTATCATCACTTCACATAAATGTTATGTTTTCCAATCTATAAACCTGCTTTTTCTTTGATGTCACAGGTCCTGAGTGAGGTCACCGAGGACAACCTTATAGACCTCGGCCCAGGGTCACCAGCTGTGGTCAGTCCAATGGTGGGCAACACGGCCCCAGCATCACTAACCACCCAACTCGGTGGGCTTGGTAATTATTTACTAGTAATACATCCTAAACCATTCTATTACAATATGTGTAGTATCTCTTATGCAGGCCTGCAAGCCTGTGCACTTGCTTGCTGTTAGAGCTTACACCCAGATGGCTATTTGCTCTGGCATTAGGGAAAGCACCGACACCGTTTTTTTTTATATCGAGTACGAGTACCAATAATTATTTTCGGTACTCGCTGATACCGAATACCGATACCGAAAGTCCCATTAAGAAAGCCAGGCGGCGTGTAATGACTCACCACCTGGCTTCCTAATTAGCCGGGAAGCCGTCTCCATGCTTCTCCTCACTAGGTGACGAGAAAGCATGGAGGCATCTTTCTGGCCAATCAGGAAGCCGTGCGTCGTGTAATGACGCGGCAACCGGCTTCCTGATTGGCCGGGAAGCCGGCTCCATGCTCCCTCATCAATCAGAAAGCCAGACGCCGCGTCATTACACGATGCCCGGCTTCCTGATTGGCCGGGAAGTTGGCTCCACAAGGGACGAGGGAGCATGGAGACGGCTTCCCGGCCAATCAGGAAGCCGGGCAGCGTGTAATGACTCGCTGCCCGGTTTCCTGATACCGGAAGTATCGGGCTAGGCATCGGAGCATTTGGGCGAGTACGAGTACTCGCCCAAATACTCGGCATCGGCACCGATACTCGTATCGGTATCGGTGCATCCCTATCTGGCATTTATCTTCCATGAGGAGTATACCAGAAAGCGGATAGCGATATCTGCCCTTTGTTATTATCCAACCCAAAGGGACAAATAACATGTTACATCTGTCAGATGTTTGCAAAGCTGTCATAGTTGGCTGTCCAGGATTGCAGGCACAGGGGTCATAAACAAACTTTTCTACTGTTACAGAGCTTTGCTAAATGTGACCCGATGGGCAGCTAATTTTATCGGTAACTGTGTTTTGTGTTCCAGATATGGGTACGAATACCGTGACCTCTACACTTAGTACCCTCCCAGCCACCAATCCCGTCCCAGCCACCAATCCAAGGGATGACTTTGATATGTTTGCACAGACGAGAACCAACTCCCTGGCTGATCAGCGGAAAAAGTAAGCGTGTTTTTTTTTCCTCTCTGACCTTCTTTCCTTTAAATTATATTTTTCTTTCCTCTCATTGACCCTGAACCTAATAGAAGAACGTTTTATCTGTTTGATTTTAAATGGTGCGGCGCTTCAATACCTATATCTATTGTGTTCACTTTGGAGCCAAGGATACTGTGGAGGTCTTTTGGATTGTGGAGGCTGCCTACCCATTAGCCAAATCACACACATTCACATTACATAGCTACTGTTGGATGAGAAACACCAAGAGAATAATACCCACACGAGTCTAGCAATTTCTATGCACACTTCCAAATACGAGTCAACCTGCTGGCAGTTACTACGGCACCCCATTCATTCAGGTCTTACCCGGGAACATGTGTGACTGCAATATTTTGAGTGGTCTCGGGGACACGGACGGCAACAAAACTCATCAGCAACATGGAGAAGGGTTACATCTTCTCTCTGGTTATTTTTACTGTCTGTGTCTTCCTATCCCAGCGAAAACCTCTCCCCTGATTTATTTATTTTATTATTGTCCTGCTCTGACATGGACAGGAAATGGGATGACATTTTCCCAAAGGGGTCGTAAACAAACAAAAAAAAAATGTACAGAGATGTTTAGTCTTCCCAAAAGAAAATTGGTTGGTGTTGGGCTTTAAATACAGCTTCTCCTCACTTAACAACCTACCTGTTTAGCGACCGTTTGGACTTAAAACCAGCCCTCTGACCAGATGGTATTGTACACTACAGGAGAACTTGGGCCAAGCTCATCTCACATCATCCTTTCTCAGTCTGTCTTGTTCCCGCTGTTGGTCAGCCAGTATTTACTACCGAACTGTACATTGGTATTTGCAGTATGCAAACCTAAGTCATACACTGTATAGTAGAGCTGATTAGCTCTATTCCTCACTTAGTGACCAGTTCACGGAACGGAACTCTGTCGTTAAGTGAGGTGTGTCTGTACGTTATTTGGCTTCATACAAATACACAATACACAAACGCACAACAAGACTATTACATAGTTACACAGTATTTGTGGTTGAATAAAGACACAGGTCCATCAAGTTCAACCCATTGCATGTATGTATTTGATTCTGCATGTGTATGCGTATGTACGAGCTCCTGTAGAATTAAAAGACGCATTCAAAAGAGAGCTAAAAAACAACCCCAATAAAGTCTTCCTTCTATAACGGGTCAAAGCCCCCTCCGTTATAATCATTGGGTATATAATGAGGAAACCATTTGTATCCAATAGGATCAAGTTATTAGCTTCAGTCTGACCCATAATGGTAGGCCAGGGTTGGGTAGCTCTGGCCCTTCAGCTGTGCTTTAACTACAAACCCCAACATGCCTCTGGGAGTCATGCCGGTAACTGTCAGTCTTGCAGTGCCTCATGGGACGTGTAGTTCCACAACAGCTGGATGGCCGGAGTTGTTAGAGACCCTGTTATACACCTCTGTTATAGACTGTGACTTGTAGAGTTTTTATGGACTCCTCCAATTTTTTTTTTCTCTCTCTGTGGCAGTGTTACGTACGAAGACCCTCAAGCTCTCGGAGGGCTGGCGTCGGCTCTGGATGTCCGGCAGCAGAACACAGGAGGGGTAAGTAGCCCTGTTCCTTCAGCTCAGTTTGACTTGCCTGCTCCAACACGTCTGATGATGGGAAATGGATGAGGGCTCGTTCACATTTGCTCCATGGTAAAATTAAGCATTTTACTATGCGGCTAATTCAAGTTCTCAGCACAGCAGCGCGGTGACCTCCTGTGCCATCCGTTATGCTGCAGAAAAGTGCACCGCGCCTCACACCAGCTTTGTAGTTTGAACAGGGCACATAGGAAACAATGGTTTTCTATGTGTCCAAGCAGTGACCTGCTTTGATCCAGTGCAGAAAAAGGCAGGTCACCGCTGTATGTGTGAACGGGCCCTAAGGCCTGCAGTACTGCTCGTCACCACTAAGTGGCACCTTTTTGACACTTCCTATTCATTACAAATGTTTACAGCAAAGTGAAAGTGTTACTCATGCAAATACTCCCCATAGTACAAAATCCACCGTCTATGATTCATGTGTTCTGTGATAATGAGGCCGGTGTGACAGTGTACTCTGATCTCTCAGGCCATGCTGTATTCACTGTGTACTATTGATAATTCTATATCTTCAGCTGATTGCTGGTTTGCTCTGGGCTACCAAGACTGATCATTCTGTGTTGGGTGGATGCTGGAGAGTTACCATTCTGGCTGAGTAATGCTAGCCATATACTGTTAGATTTCGGGGGTTAAACATTAAAAATCATTAGATTGCCCTATCCGTGCATCCCCGCTGCAGGCTATAGCATTCAGCAGCCTTTGCACCCTCGGCTGCTGAATACCTGAACAGTGTCTGTCTGATTGGATACAGGCGCTGTTCGGCAGATGATTTTCCACCTGGTTCCTTAAAAAAAAAAGTTGATTCAAAGCGACTTTTGTCAAACTGGGTGGTGCCGACAGGGCTACCCACAGCTTGAATTTCATCTGATTCTGCAGAAGTCAGCTGATGTTTGAGCCGTATGGCCAGCTGTAGAGGACGCCACCCAGTACATCACAGTAAGCAAAGTCTCACAGAGACCTTGCAAACACCTTACTCTGTCTATAATATATAATAAGTTGGGAACCCAGAAGCAGATCATAATGAATGGGAGGAGCTGGGAACCCAGAAGCGGGGCATAATGAATGGGTGCACTGGGAGGAGCTGGGAACCCAGAAGCAGCACATAATGAATGGGAGGAGCTGGGAACCCAGAAGCAGAGCATAATAAATGGGTGCACTGGGAGGAGCTAGAAACCCAGAAGCAGAGCATAATGAATGGGTGCACTGGGAGGAGCTGGAAACAAAGCAGAGCATAATGAATGGGTGTTCTGGGAGGAGTTGGGAACCCAGGAGCTGTGAACTTATATCTTGATACCGGTATTACAATCCAGGCTTGTAGCAATAGGGCCTCATAGCTGGTTGGGCATACTGAGAGTTGTAGTTCTTTTAGGAGTGCTTGCTTCTAGAGGCTTCCTGCCACAAGGTAAAGCAATTTATTGTTTTTAATGTTTCTCTGTTTCTCTGCTGTCCCTTTCCTTCTCTGTGCTCTGAACGGTCTGGGTTTCATCCAGAGGAGAGGGAGAGCTGGCAGCTCAACCTTGGAGCCCATAGACCAGTGGCTCATTACACAAGGAATGGTGAGCAGTATACCATGAGCCTAGTCCCTGCCCCCCCC